GGGCTGCCCGGACCCGTGCCAAACAGCGCCTGGAGCGGTGGGGACCGGAGCACGGGGAGGGGGGCGGGCTCAGATCCCCTGGAGACAGGGCTGATCCGTCCTCTGCCATGTCTTCCTCCAGCAGAACAAAAGGGAGGTGATGCGCTGGCGTCCTGGCCACAGCGAGCTGGGAAAGCAGAGCGAGGTGACTCGTTCTCTTCCCCGCGCCCTCCAGGCCAGAGGGACCGGGGATAGGAACACCCCACGTGTCATTGCCTGCCCCACCCCACCCCGGACACCCCTTCTCTGCGGACAGGCAGCCGGGGGCTCTGAGGGTCCCCCCAGGCCGGAGTGCAGCCGGAGCCCGCAGTGCCCTGTTCTCTGCTCATCAGAGGGGCGCCCCATCTCTCTGTGCCTCCCCCACTTATCCGAGCAGCGGCTGGGCCTGCAGAGCCCCTCTCTGGGCCAGGAAGTGCCGGGGTCCGAGAAGTTCCCTCCAGGGGGCGCCAGAGGCTCCCGGGGCAGGGCAGGGGGGTGGCTGGTGTGTGGCACCAGCATGAGTCGTCTGTCCACACGCATAGCCCCGACGCCGCATGAAAACAAGCTTAGCGCTGCCCGGCCAGCGTGGCCCCGTGGTGGAGCGTCGACCTAGGAGCCAGGGGGTCACGGTTCGATTCCCGGTCAGGGCACAGGCCCGGGTTGTGGGCTCGATCCAGCAGGGGCCACACAGGAGGCAGCTGATGGATATTTCTATCCCTCTCTCTTCCTCTCTGTAAAAAAAAAAAAAAAAAAATCAATAAAATATATTTTTCTTAAAAAAAGGAGCCCAGGGCCCGGCCAGTTTGGCTCAGTGGATAGAGCATCAGCCTGCAGACGGAAGGATCCCGGGTTCGATTCCTGGACAGGGCACAGGCCCGAGTTGTGGGCTCCATCCCCAGTGGGGGACTTGCAGGAGGCAGCCGATGCATGATTCTCTCTCATCATTGGTCTCTCTCCCTCTCTCTCTCTCTCTCTCTCTCTCTCTCTCTCTCTCTCTCTCTCTCTCTCTCTCCCTCTTCCTTCCTCTCTGACATCAATTTAAAAAAAATTAAAACTAATGACAAAGTGCTCAGCACCTGCGTGTGGCTTGTGGCTGCCGCCTGGGCAGCCGCTCTGGTCTCCGGCTTCAGGGTGACGGAGGCGGCAGCCTTCGTGTCCCAGGTCCCCCAGCAGGCAGCTCCCAGGAGCTCCCCACGGCCGCCCCTTTCCCCCCCCCCCCCCCCGTCCCTCTCCTCCTCCTCCCCCGGCTCTTGTGGGGAGCAGGGGCCAGGACGGAGCCGTGCCAGCAGCCGCCACGGGCCATCTGGCTGCCCCTGCTGAGGGGGCACCCCTCGGAGTGGCCGCCTAGAAGCTCGCCCATCCCCACACTGCTTCTGGCTGGGAGTGGGGGGGGGGGATGACAGCTGAATTCAATTACTGCGTCCACCGTGCGGCTTCTGAAGACTCAGAGCCGTCGATCAATCCGGGGGCAGAGCAGACACACGCGATCGGGGTGAGCTCATCCGATTAGAAGCCATCAGCCAGATGGTGCTTTCCGACACGCCCACAGGCCCTCCCCCCCGCCCATTGAGGATGCGGGGGCTCAGGTCTCTCTTGGGGGTCAAAGGGTTCAGGGGCTCGGTGCCGAGCCAGGCCCTGGTGTCCCTGACCCTTCGGGTCCATCTCGCTCCCGGGGGGAGCTGGTGCATAGGATGACCTGGGCCGGAGTGCGGTTCCAGAATGTTCCAGAATGTTCCAGAATGTTCCAGCTGGGCTCTCCTTAATTGCCTCCTGGTCTTAAGGTTTCTTTCTTTCCACTTTTCCTTGTTAAGTACAAAACTTGCTTCTTCTTTTCTTTTTTTCTTTTTATTAATGCTTTTATTTATTTATTTTATTTCAGAGAGGAAGTGAGAGGGGGAGAGAGAGAGAGAGAAACATCCATGAGGAGAGAGAATCATGGACCGGCTGCCTCCTGCACGCCCCACGCTGGGGATGGAGCCCGCCACCCAGGCATGTGTCTTGACCGGGAACCGAACCGTGACCTTCTGGTTCCTAGGATGACGCTCAGCCGCTGAGCCACACTGGCCGATTCGTGATTCTCTCTCACCATGGATGTTTCTCTCTCTCTCCCTCTCCCTTCCTGTCTGAAATCAATAATACTGGTATAGCCGAAACCGGTTTGGCTCAGTGGATAGAGCGTCGGCCTGCAGACTGAAAGGTCCCAGGTTCGATTCCGGTCAAGGGCATGTACCTTGGTTGCGGGCACATCCCCAGTGGGGGGGGGGGGGGGGCGGTGCAAGAGGCAGCTGGTCAATGTTTCTCTCTCATCGACGTTTCTAGCTCTCTATCTCTTTCTCCCTTCCTCTCTGTAAAAAAAAAATCAATAAAAAATATATTTAAAAAAATAATAATAATACTGGTATACTAGTACATACATTACATTTTTTATAATTTTTTTAAAGACCACAGAGGCACACAGTAGGGTCCCGAGGGGTCAGCCAGGATCGAGGGCTGAGCTGGGGGGGACAGAGGAGGGCTGGTAGACGCCTGCCCCAGGGCTCAGCGCTGTCCCCAGCCAGCGGCTGCCCTGATGCTGTGGGCCCAGCAGCCCGGCCAAGACAAACACTGGGCGGGAGCTCCCGGGCTGCGAGCCGGCGGGGCGCGCTCTCTGAAATGCGGACTTTGGACGGGGCTTTCCCCGGAGGGAAATGAGCACGGAATCTGGGAACAAAAGCAATGTGCACTGGAGCCGGGCTTTATCAGGGAGCCGGGGGTCCAGGCACAAGGAGCCGCAGAGCCAAGATGCAATGAGAGAGAGAGCTAGAAACATCGATGAGAGAGAAACATCCATCAGCTGCCTCCTGCACACCCCCCACTGGGGATGTGCCCGCCACCAAGGTCCATGCCCTTGACCGGAATCGAACCTGGGACCCTTGAGTCTGCAGGCCGACGCTCTATCCACTGAGCCACACCAGACAGGGCTGGAATTCAGACTTCTTCCTCAAATCTCCAGCAACAAGTGTTCGTGGACACTATTTCATTCGTTTCACAAGGATTTTTTTTTTAAATATATTTTTATTGACTTCCGAAAGGAAGGGAGAGGGAGAGAGAGAGAAACATTCATGATGAGAGAGAATCATGGACCGGCTGCCTCCTGCACGCCCCCTACTGAGGATGGAGCCCAAACCCAAGCCTGTGCCCTGACCGGGAATTGAACCCTGATCTCCTGGTTCCTAGATCGATGCTCAACCACGGAGCTGCGCTGGAGTCTGCTTCCTGCCTCCTGCCAGGAGGGAGGGGAGAGGGACGGGATGGCCAGGACCCAGGTGGTCAGGCCGGAGGCACTCAGATGTGGCAGGAAAGGGGGGGTCCTCCCCACATGCCAGGCAGGGCTGCCCTCCGCACAGGATGCAGGGCGGAAAGCCATGGAGGGATGGAGGCCAGGGGTGCTGGCTTCCTGGAAAGGCTCGTACCCTCTCATTTCCTGGAGATTTCTAAGAAACGGGAAGGTCTGTGGTGCTTAGAAGGTGCGGGGACAAGACTTCCTGAAGACGGAGGAGGCAGGACCCAGTACCGTTTCTCCAGAACTATTATCATCCTGGCGTGGAGGGCAGGAGTTTTCCCAACATATTAGGAGTTCCCTGTCTGATGAGCGTGGCTCAGGGGTGGAGCATCCACCTACGAACCAGGAGGTCAGGGTTCGATTCCCGGTCTGGGCACAATCCCTGGTTGTGGGGGTTCCATCCCCAGTGTGGGGCGTGCAGGAGGCAGCCGGTCCGTGATTCTCTCTCTCCATGGATGTTTCCATCTCTCTCTTTCTCTCCCTTCCCCTCTGAAGTCAATACGTTGAAAGAAAGAAAGAAAGAAAGAAAGAAGGAAGGAAGGAAGGAAGGAAGGAAGGAAGGAAGGAAGGAAGGAAGGAAGGAAGGAAGGGAGAAAGAAAGGAAGGAAGGAAGGAAGGAAGAGAGAGAACCCTAACTGCTTTGGCCTCAGTGGATAGAGCGTCGGCCTGCAGACTGAAGGGTCCCAGGTTCGATTCCGGTCAAGGGCATGGACCTTGGTTGCGGGCACATCCCCAGTAGGGGGTGTGCAGGAGGCAGCTGATCAATGAATCTCTCTCATCGATGTTTCTGACTCTATCCCTCTCTCTCCCTCTCTGTAAAAAATCAATGAAATATATATATTTTTAAATAAAATAACAGGGTTCTTCAAAAACACTGAACACAGAAACCTGATCCGGAGGGCAGCTGGGGTGGGGAGAGGCAGCAGAGGGGGTACGGGAGGCCTGGGTGTCAAAGGGATGGAGGGGGAGGACAGAAGGAAGAGGCCACGTGACCAGCCTCAGCCGGAGGCCATTGAGTCTGGAGGGGAAGAACGTTGAGGGGCGGCACCTGGGGGCTCCCAGCAGGCACTGCCCGCCGGCAGGTGCGCAGGGTTCCCACGCCCAGAGGAAGGGATCGGGCACTGTGTGCACCCCACCCTGGCGGTGGCGTGTATGGTCAAGGTCAAGGTTATGGTCAAGGTCAAGGTCAAGGTGCTGGGAGCCGGAAGCCAGGTAGGTGCTGGGAGGGGTGGGGGCCCAGGAGCTGGCTTTGGGGAAACCAGGCATAGACCCAATAACACCCCTCTGCTGTGCACACGGGCCTCCCCCCCCCCCAGGCGGGCTGGAAGGTTCTGGGCTGCCTCCGCCCCACAAGTCTTAGCAGCCGGGCGGGCCACAGCCCCCTGTCATTACAGGCCCCTGGACGTGTGGGTGGATGGCTGGAGAAGCCAGGTCCGCGGGGCCCTGCCTAGACCCGCGGTCGGCAAACCGCGGCGCGCGAGCCACAGGCGGCTCTCGGGCCCCCGGAGGGCGGCTCTTCCACAGAACACCACGGCCCGGGCGCGTCTGTGTGGAAGACGTGGCGTTCGAAGACGTTTACGTTTAAAAAATGTGGCTCTCCAGAGACATGTCCGTCGCTGTGCTGCTGACACTTGGCTCTGTGGATGAATGAGCTTGCCGACCCCTGCACTGATCGGTTGCCTCCTGTATGGGCCCCCACTGGGCACCCAAATTCAAGCCACCCTCCCCTGCAAGGGGTTTTGACTTTGATTTTGGGGTTCCCCAGCCAACCCCAATGCAATGACCTGGGGCGAGGGATTTCACCTGAACCTCGGTTTCCCCGCCTGTACACAGCGCTGCGAGGACCGGACAGGGTATCCCCCGTGACGTGCGTGGCACCTGCTTCCTCCGTGGGACGCCTTCCGCCCCAGGAACCCACCGTCGTGACTATTACTGCTCACCAATAGCAATGCCCATCCTTCACCCCGGGGCCGCGAGGCAGAGAGAGATCTGGAGACAATAAACGCTCAGGGCAGCCGTCATCCGTAGATCCAGAGGGGGGATCGGGCCTGAACCCGGGTTTCTAAATGTCCACCCTCTCCTGGCCACTAAAAAAAACAGCCACATGTAGTGTGGCTCGGCGGCGTTTAGTGTCAACCTAGGAACCAGGAGGTCCCGGTTCGATTCCCGCTCAGGGCACAGGCCCGGGTTGCAGACTCCATCCCCAGGGTGGGGCGTGCAGGAGGCAGCCGGTCCATGATTCTCTCTCCTCATGGATGTTTCTCTTTCTCTCACCCCCTCCCTCTCTGAAATCAATAAAAATATATTGGGTCCCAGGTTCGATTCCGGTCAAGGGCACACGCCCGGGTTGCTGGCTGGATCCCCAGTAGGGGGAGTGCAAGGAGGCAGCCAATCCATGATTCTCTCTCATCCTTAATGTTTCTCTCTCTCTCTCTCTCTCTCTCTCTCTCTCTCTCTCTCTCTCTCTCTCTCTCTCTCTCCTCCCCCACCCCAAGTCACTTGCTCTCTGAAATCAATAGAAACATTTTTCCAAAAAGAAAAAGTCACGTGCTTGCCGGGACCGGTTTGGCTCAGTGGATAGAGCATCGGCCTGGGGACTGAAAGGTCCCGGGTTCGATTCCGGTCAAGGGCATGTACCTTGGTTGCGGGCGCATCCCCAGTAGGAGGTGTGCAAGAGGCAGCTGATCGATGTTTCTCTCTCATCGATGTTTCTAACTCTCTATCCCTCTCTCTTTCTCTCTGTGAAAAATCAATAAAATATATTTAAAAATAAAGAAAAAGTCACGTGCTAAAGATTTCTAAAGGGATTTCCTCTCCCTCCTGCAGACCCAGCTTGGAGGGGGAGAGGCCGAGGGGGTGGGGAGACCGGGCCAGTTCCTTGCTCAGCTGTCTGTTCTCCTCCGTTTCCTGCAAACTTTGCAAAACCCACCCCAGGGAGCATCAGCCAGGCAGTGCCTCGCACAGCTCATGAGCTCTGATCGGAGAAAGTGCACCTCCCCCTGAGAAGAAGGCAGGCTTGGGAAATAAGACTCAGAGACAGAGCGGGGTGAGGAGTGTGAAAATGGGGCGCGGGGGAGACCACACCTTCTCCTGGGCCCTCCCAGGACCACCCACCCTCCATGCTGCACGCCCAGTGCTTGCTGGGAGTGTGTCTTTTTTTTTTTTTTTAATATATTTTATTGATTTTTCACAGAAAGGGAGAGGAATAGAGAGCTAGAAACATCGATGAGAGAGAATCATTGATCAGCTGCCTCCTGCACACCCCCCACTGGGGATGTGCCCACAACTAAGGTACATGCCCTTGACCGGAATCGAACCTGGGACCCTTCAGTCCGCAGGCCGACGCTCTATCCACTAAGCCAAACCAGTCAGGGCATGTTCATTGCTTTTAGAGAGCGAGGAAGAGAGGGAGAGAGAGAGAGAGAGAGCGAGAGAGAAAGAGAGAGAGAGAGAGAGAGAGAGAGAAAGAGAGAGAGAGAGAGAGAGAGAGAGAGAGAGAGAGAGAGAGAGAGAGAGAGAGAGAGAGAGGTTAGTTACCTCCATCTGCTCGCTGACTCGGGGTCAAACCCACAACCTAGGAATGTGCCCTGACCAGGCATTGAACCCCCAACCTTTTGGTGTACAGAACAGCCCCCCAGCCCCGCTGGTCTCCCCGTCCCCATGCCCCCCCGCCCCCACGTTCATGGACATCTGGAAAGCCCGACTCTTCACGTTTCTGGGGGCTGTTCCGTGAAAGGAACCAGGAGCTGGGGCGGACAGCGGGCCGGCCGGGGGAGCGGCGTGCGGCTGTAACAGCCAAACCCGGCGGAGCCTGCGGTGTCTGAAGCCGCAGACGTGGGTCCCATCTGCTGCCGGCCTCCTCCGTGTGTTGCGACTCGAGAGAGAAGACGTCGCTCGAAGGGGCGGGAAACGTTATTTTGGGGCTTTTTTTTTAGATCCGTGACTTCAGTCCATGGTATTTCGGGCGAGCGGGGAGGGGCTGACGACGCCAGTTCGGCTTGTAAACCCGATGTGGGAGGAGCGGGCCCACAGGTGGGAGGACAGGGTCCCTGGGCTCAGAGAGGAAGGAGGAGGGAGAGGAGGCAGGGAGGACGTCAGCGGGAAATGGGGAGCACTTTCTTACCTGAAGCACCCGGGTAGGCAAAGGGGCGTAAACACAGGCTCTCTTCACACTGAGCAGGTCAGACAGACCGATGGCAAAGTCCCGCCAGAGCTCGTTCTAATCAATGTCATCCTTTTCTCTCTCTCTCTCTCTTTTTTAAAATATATTTTTATTGATGTCAGAGAGGAAGAGGAAGGGAGAGAGAGAAATATCAATGATGAGAGAGAATCATCAACCAGCTGCCTCCTGCACGCCGCCCACTGGGGATGTGCCCGCAACCAAGGTCCATGCCCTTGACTGGAATCGAACCTGGGGCCCTTCCAGTCCGCAGGCCGACGCCCTATCCACTGAGCCACACCGGGGAGGGCTAGGTCTCTTTCTTATGCTCCGTTTTCCAGCCACCACCACACCTGTCTCTTCCCCCCACCACCATCACCACCCTGATTCTAACTCAGGCAAGGGAGGGAGCTGGCACAGAGAGAGCCCCCTGTGGATGGCGGAGGCAGGGGGCCAGGGAGTCGGACATGCTGGCAGCGGAGGCCTCTATGCAGACAGAGACAAGGAGCCTCCCATTCCCTGGAAGGCGGGTGACACGCTCACCTCCTGCGGGGAGCCCTCTGTGAGCACCCACGTCCCACCCCCGTCCCCCCACCCTCGCCCCATCCCTGTCCTGGAACCAGAGACGCTAAGCCTCCCGGACCTGCCGGGACCTGCCCGGGCTCGTGGCAAAAGCGGAAACGCCACGGGAACACCTGGCTCCCGGCCTCCCCGCCTCCACCCGGCTCCGGGCTGTCCAGCTCCTTCTAGCAGGTTCCGTACAGAACGTGCTGACCTCCCGCGGGCAGCGGGCCGGAGGCAGCAGGTGACCGCAGCGCCAGCCCAGACGCTCCCCGTCCATCCCATCCTCCAGCCACGGCGTCCGGCCACGCCCTCGCTCCGCCACGGCCACGGCCACAGCCACAGCCCGCGCCCCCACGGAGATCAAACCCAGCACACATGTCGGTGGGGTCCCCTGCCAGCCAGGCACACGCAGCCTCTCCCATCATGGAAAAAGCCAGGCAGGATAACAATAGCGCATTGATCGCGGTTACGGAACCGGCGGGACCTGCCCGGCCAGAGTCCTCTGGTCACAGGGCCCCAGGGGAGAGCCACCTGCTGCCCGGCCCACGTGGCTCCGTGGCTGAGCGTCCACCCAGGAACCAGGAGGTCACAGTTCCATTCCCGGTCAGGGCACAGGCCCTGGTGGTGGGCTCAGTGTTTTGGGTTTTGTTTTGTTTTTTAATATATTTTTTTGATCTCAGAGAAGAAAGGAGAAGGAGAGAGAGAGAGAGAGAGAGAGAGAGAGAGAGAGAGAGAGAGAGAGAGAGAGAGAGAGAGAGAAACATCAAAGATGAGAGAGATTCACGGATCGGCTGCCTCCTGTACACCCCACCCTGGGGATGGAGCCTGCAACCCGGGCCTGTGCCCTGACCGGGAATCGAACCCTGACCTCCTGGTTCCTAGGTGGACGCTCAACCACTGAGCCATCTCAGCTGGGCTCACTGTTTTGTGTGGGGTTTTTTTTTTTTAAATATATTTTATTGATATTTTACATAGAGAAAGGGAAAAGGATAGAGAGAAACATCGATGAGAGAGAAACATCAGTCAGCTGCCTCCTGCACACTCCCTACTGGGGACGTGCCCGCAACCAAAGTACATGCCCTTGACCAGAATCGAACCCGGGACTTTTTGTGGAAGAGCCACACTCAAGGGGCCAAAGAGCTGCAGGTGGCTCTCCAGCCGCGGTTTGCCGACCACGGGTCTAGCCATTGAGCCGCACCGGCTGGGGCCTCAATAAAGCCTTTAGGTGGTGCAATACCTCGAGGACGTTCCTTTTCAGCCAACACCCGGGCAGGGAAGGTAACGTGAACACGGGGGAGGGGCCAGGGAACAACACAGATCAAATCAAAGTGAAGTGGGGGGTGGGGAGGGAGAGGGGAGGGAGAGGGGGCCCCCCCACTGCCCGAGAGGCCGACCAGAGGGGCAAGCAGACCCTGACGGGCCTCCAGACAAAGGACGCTCTGTGGCCGGCCGCCGGACAGACAAGGAGCCCTTGACCGGAATCAAACCCGGGACCCATCCGTCCGCAGGCCGACGCGCTATCCACTGAGCCACACCGGTTTCAGCGAGAGCCACATGTTTTAAACGTAAACTCTATAGGGAGGTACATTGTGATGAACTTAATCAGGCGACTCCTCAGCTGGCCTTTGCTAAACACTCAAGGGGCCACTGAGCTGGGCCACAAACTCCCAGGGGCAGAGCGGCCATCTGCCTGGCGGCCTTTTGTTCCAGGGCCCCAGGCGGGCGGGCAGGCCCTGACTCCTCGGGAGGGGGGCACAGATGGCGGTCCCCCACCTCCGATCCCCCTCACCAGGCATTATCTCAGCAGCCACAGGCCCTGGGGAAATCGACCCCCCTGACCCCCGTGCCAGGCCGTCCTGCCTCGGACTTCCAACGGGGCGGCTGGAAGTCCCATTGTTATTCCGGGGCTTCGGCCTGCAGCTCTCCCGGCTCTTATC